TCTAAAGTAGTGCCAGTGTATCTGAAAGGTGGTGCCGCATCTCATTCATTAGGTACTGATGGTGCATTTTGTATTGGCGATTATGGATGCTGCATGGAGTGGAAAGTGTATATTTTCTACAAATGTGTTGTCTAAGCCTAGTAACTTACCTGTGTGGGGTTGGCCAGCAGCAGCACCTGAGTAATAGCAGTTGGGGGCAGAATGGGATTGAATGGAGGAAGTTCACTGCCAGTTGCTGGTTGCAACTTTACCTTCATTGCCTTTAAAAACAGAAAATACAAAGATGAGGGACTGTAAATAGAGGTGAAGGGGAGGCAGGATGTTAGATTGGGATGGTAAAAACCTTGGGAACAGCAGATTGAAAACTAATTCCAGTGACGGGAGAGGAGCAGTACTCAGCATGGAGATCACCACCACCAGGACGTCAGGCCGGCCTGGAGGACTGTCCTGAGCAAAGTGGAAAAGGACCCGAAAGCTGCGCTGGTCATACACAGTGACTGGGAGGATGCTACCTAAAAAGACACAAAACAATGCAGTCAGGCAGATCGGTCTATAAAGTACGAGACAAACCAGCCTCCTGTATGAAGCCTCGGACTGATGAAGAGTCCACTGGGTGGGCCATTCAGCGGGAATCATCTATAGTCAGACATTTCATACTTGAAGCACTCTTGTGGTCTGAGGAGCGTTCCAGAGCATCTTACACTATTTTGCCAAAAGTATTGGACCGCCTGCCTTTCCACACACATGACCTTTAATGGCCCCCCAGTCTTAGTCTGTAGGGTTCAATATTGAGTTGGCCCCACCCTTTCCACACACATGACCTTTAATGGCCCCCCAGTCTTAGTCCGTAGGGTTCAATATTGAGTTGGCCCCGCCCTTTGCAGCTATAACAGCTTCAACTCCTCTGGGAAGGCCGTCCACAAGGTTTAGGAGGGTGTCTATGGGAAGGTTGGACCATTCTTCCAGAAGCACATTTGTCAGGTCAGGCACTGATGTCGGGGGAGGAGGCCTGGCTCGCAGTCTCCGCTCTAATTCATCCCAAAGGTGTTCTATGGGGTTGAGGTCAGGACTCTGTCAGGTCAGTCACGTTCCTCCACCCCAAACTGGCTCCTCCATGTCTTTATGGACCTTGCTTTGTGCACTGGTGCGCAGTCATGTTGGAACAGGAAGGGGCGATCCCCAAACTCTTCCCACAAAGTTGGGAGCATGAAATTGTCCAAAATGTCACCTTAAGAGTTCCCTTCACTGGAACTAGGGGGCCAAGCCCAAGCCCTGAAAAACATCCCCACACCATAATCCCCCCCTCCACCAAACTTTACACTCCACGTCTCTAGAGTCCAGTGGCGGCGTGCTTTACACCATGGGATCCGACGCTTTGCATTGCACTTGGTGATGGAAGGCTTGGATGCAGCTGCTCGGCCATGGAAACCCATTCCATGAAGCTCTCTACGCACTGTTGTTGGGCTCATCTGAAGGCCACACCAAGTTTGGAGGTCTTTAGCTATTGACTCTGCAGACAGTTGGTGACTTCTGCGCACTGTGCGCTTCAGCATGCGCTGACCCCGCCCTGTCATGTGACGTGGCCTACCACTTGGTGGCTGAGTGGCTGTTGTTCCCACTTTGTTATAATCCCACTAACAGTGGAGCGTGGAATATTTAGTAGCCAGGAAATGTCACGGATGGACTTATTGCACAGGTGGCCACCTATCACGGGACCACGCTTGGAGTCACTGAGCTCCTGAGAGCGACCCATTCTTTCACCAATGTTTGTAGAAGCAGTCTGCATGCCTAGGGGCTGATTGTATACACCTGTGTCCATGGAGGGGATTGGAACCCCTGAATCACATGATTGGGAGGGGATTGGAACACCTGAATCCAGTGATTTAGAGTGGTGGCCCAATATTTCTGGCAATATAGTGTATGTGTAATATGACATGTATGCACAGGTAGGATAAATGGAGAAATATTGCATACTGGGTTTGATGGATTCCAGAGGCACAGTGATATTAGTGAGGGAGATGTCGCTTTTCACAGGGGACGGGACTGGATGTTCTACTCCGACAGAAGTGACGTTCCCCAGGACAGCAGGCTGCTGCGGGGGAGTGGTGCTCGTTTTACTCTGCAGATCCCTTAGTGTGGGCTTGTGTTGGGGCTTTTCCCTAAAAGAAAAAAAAAGGAAAAAATTATATATATTCTCACACACACATATATATATATATATATATACATCAGCACAAAGGCAGAGGATAAGAGGGAAAGAATAAATCGACAACAATTAAACTTTCATCAGCATAACGCCTTTTCCATTTCATGCCTAATCAGCAAAAGGAAAACTGTGATTGTTGAGGAGCTGAATCCAATGATGGCTTTTTACATATCTTGAGGCCCGCTCACACCAAGCCTGCTCAGCCATTCACCGGAAGCTTTGTATTTTTATCAGTGAATACAAGGCTTCCTCTGATTGACTGAGGTGGAGATTGTGACATCTGCCCGCCTCTCCACCTCAGCCATTCAGAGGAAGTCTTGTATTCATTGATTAAAATACAAAGCTTCTGGTGAAAGAATTAAAATAAAAAATAGTGTCCCATCATTGGTGTCATTGGAAGGAATTATGTCCCATCGTTGGTGTCATTGGGAGGAACTGTGCCACATCTTTTGTTGTCATCGAAAGAAATTGTGCGGCATTGTTGGTGTCAGTGGGAAGAATTCTGCCCCATTATTGTTGTCAGTGGGAGGAATTGAGCTCCTTCATCGGCGTCAGTGGGAGGAATTGAGCGCCTTCATCGGCGTCAGTGGGAGGAATTGAGCGCCTTCATCGGCGTCAGTGGGAGGATTTGAGCGCCTTCATCGGCGTCAGTGGGAGGATTTGAGCGCCTTCATCGGCGTCAGTGGGAGGATTTGAGCGCCTTCATCGGCGTCAGTGGGAGGAATTGAGCGCCTTCATCGGCGTCAGTGGGAGGATTTGAGCGCCTTCATCGGCGTCAGTGGGAGGAATTGAGCGCCTTCATCGGCGTCAGTGGGAGGAATTGAGCGCCTTCATCGGCGTCAGTGGGAGGAATTGAGCGCCTTCATCGGCGTCAGTGGGAGGAATTGAGCTCCTTCATTGGTGTCAGTGGGAGGAATTGAGCTCCTTCATCTGCGTCAGTGGGATGAATTGAGCTCCTTCACTGGCGTCAGTGGGATGAATTGAGCTCCTTCACTGGCGTCAGTGGGATGAATTGAGCTCCTTCACTGGCGTCAGTGGGATGAATTGAGCTCCTTCATTGGTGTCAGTGGGAGGAATTGAGCTCCTTCATTGGTGTCAGTGGGAGGAATTGAGCTCCTTCATTGGTGTCAGTGGGAGGAATTGAGCTCCTTCACTGGCGTCAGTGGGAGGAATTGAGCTCCTTCATTGGTGTCAGTGGGAGGAATTGAGCTCCTTCATTGGTGTCAGTGGGAGGAATTGAGCTCCTTCATTGTGTCAGTGGGAGGAAATGAGCTCCTTCATTGGTGTCAGTGGGAGGAATTGAGCTCCTTCATTGGTGTCAGTGGGATGAATTGAGCTCCTTCACTGGCGTCAGTGGGAGGAATTGAGCTCCTTCACTGGCGTCAGTGGGAGGAATTGAGCTCCTTCATTGGTGTCAGTGGGGGGAATTATGCCCGTTGTTGGTGTCAGTGGATGAAATAGTTCCCTAAGGGCCAGATAAAGCAAAGGGCTGCAGTTTGCAGACCCCTGGTCCAAAATAACCTCTTTAAGTTCACCTTTTGAAGAAAAAAAAAAAAAGAGAAGCTACAGAAATTAGAAAGTCAGACGGATCATGCAGACACTGCAATCCTGCCTCTCCCCCTGCAGAATAAATGGACCAGCCCATGCAGAATATTATACTGAAGAAGAGAAAATAAACTCCAGAAAACAAGTCTTTATGTGTCTATCTAAGACGTCTAACATAAAGAAAAAAAAAAAAAAAAACAGAAAAAAATGTCTGCAAAGTCAATAAACTGGTCACACTGCTTCACCACGGTCACAAATACGAAGCATCACATTCCACAGACAACACTCCTGTTCACAAGGCCTCATGCAGCCTTCTTACATTCAAAGCTCGGGAGGAATGACATACCCTCACTTTCTGTCTTTCAGCCTAAAAAGCACATGGGGTAGCTGTCTGCCAGCTGAAAAAGCATACAGTGAAATTTCAGCCTTCAAAAATATCATAAATAACAGTGGAAAGGGGCTTCTGGATGTATTCTCACTAGACAGAGGGGTGTGGGCCAACCAAGGAAGGGACTGTCAGACGTATCCCTACTAGACCAAAGGTTGGTTGCCGAAGCTACCAGTGCATCGAGCCAACCAATGAAGGGACTGCCGGACGTATCCCAACTGGACCAAAGGTTGGTTGCCGAAGCTACCAGTGCACTGAGCCAACCAAGGAAGGGACTGCCGGACGTATCCCAACTGGACCAAAGGTTGGTTGCCGAAGCTACCAGTGCACTGAGCCAACCAAGGAAGGGACTGCCGGACGTATCCCAACTGGACCAAAGGTTGGTTGCCGAAGCTACCAGTGCACTGAGCCAACCAAAGAAGGGACTGCCGGCCGGACATGTCTCTACTAGACCAAAGGTTGCTTGCCGAAGCTACCAGTGCACTGAGCCATCCAAGGAAGGGACTGCTGGACGTGTCTCTACTAGACCAAAGGTTGCTTGCCGAAGCTACCAGTGCACTAAGCCAACCAAGGAAGGGACTGTCGGGACGTATCCCTACTAGACCAAAGGTTGGTTGCCGAAGCTACCAGTGCACTGAGCCAACCAAGGTAGGGACTGTCGGGACGTATCCCTACTAGACCAAAGGTTGGCTGCCGAAGCTACCAGTGCACTGAGCCAACCAATGAAGGGACTGCCGGACGTATCCCAACTGGACCAAAGGTTGGTTGCCGAAGCTACCAGTGCATCGAGCCAACCAATGAAGGGACTGCCGGACGTGTCTCTAATAGACCAAAGGTTGCTTGCCGAAGCTACCAGTGCAGTGAGCCAACCAAGGAAGGGACTGCCGGACGTATCTCTACTAGACCAAAGGTTGCTTGCCGAAGGTACAAGTGCACTGAGCCAACCAAGGAAGGGACTGCCGGACGTATCTCTACTAGACCAAAGGTTGCTTGCCGAAGGTACAAGTGCACTGAGCCAACCAAGGAAGGGACTGTCGGGACGTATCCCTACTAGACCAAAGGTTGCTTGCTGAAGCTACCAGTGCACTGAGCCAACTAAGGAAGGGACTGCTGGGATGTATCCCTACTAGAACAAGGCTTGCTTACAACAGCACAAAACCCCTCACGGTCAATGGTCCGTCCTGGGAGTGGTATATCTGCCAATGCCTAAACCCTAATGGAAGGGGAGGTGCATCCAAAGTCAAACACACTCAAAAGAAAAACCCCACAATAGGATAAAGCACCTCAAAGGCTAGTAAGCAGCATAATTTTATAGGACGTAACAGTAAAAACGTGTAATATATTCTAAGAGTGCACGCACCCCATCCATCCCCTTCTCCCCTCCCAGCCCCCCACCATTGACCAACCCCCCCCAACAGTGTCCCACACAATCCCACCCTTCCCTTCCCCACCCAAGGTACCCCCAGCAACCCTACGAGTCCCCCCACCTTACCACAGGCTACTAGTGCAATGAGCCAGCCAGCAAAAGGACTACTAGATGTAATCCTACAAGACAGAGGGGTGCTTACTGCAGGCTACTAGTGCAATGAGACAACCAGTGAAGGGAATGCTGGATGGATTGTTATTAGAGGGATGCTGGCTACTAATGAAATAAGTCAACCAGGGAAGGAACTGCTGGATGGATTCCTACTAGACTGAGGGATGCTAACTGTAGGTTACCAGTACAATGAGCCAACTAGAGATGGGGCTGAAGGGTGTATTTCTACTAGACTGAGCGGTTGCTTACTGAAGGCTACTAGTGCAATGAGCCGACCAGAGTAGGGGATGTATTCTGTCTACACCAGGGGTAGGCAACCTGAGAGCCGCAGGACTACAAGTTCCATCATGCCTCTGCAAGTCATAGCTGTAACTGTCAGTTTTGTAATCTTTGCAATGCCTCATGGGAAATGTAGTTCCACAACAGCTAGAGAGCCCCAGGTTGCCTACCCCTGGACTAGACTGAGGGGTGCTCACTGCAGGATACTGGTGCAATGAGCCAACTAGAGATGGGGCTGATGGGTGTATTTCTACTAGACTGAGCGGTGCTTACTGAAGGCTACTAGTGCAATGAGCCGACCAGAGTAGGGGATGTATTCTGTCTAGACTGAGGGGTGCTCACTGCAGGTTACTTGTGCAATGGAGCCAGCCATGGTAGGGAATGTATTCTTACTGACCAATGGGTGCTTACTGCAGGCTACTGGTGCAATGAGCCAACCACATTTATTAGAGGGCTGGTGGGCGCAATTATAGGTTCAGGCCTAGGTGATCTGTCCAGAATTGCTTTATACAATATATAATCTGTCTCTGTCTAGTTCTATCAGACGGCTACATTATGTCTGGTCCATCTAACAATCATGAAGGTCTTCCAAGCCAAAAGCTCTGCAGTCACAACCGTATACTCACCATCGTACATGCATGGCTGTGGGCGGAAGGGATTGCTGAAGAAGGGTTTTCCCAAGTAGATCCAGATCATCCAAAGCCTTACTAGGATGGACCGGAGTCTGTGAGACCGAAGGGACCTTCTCTCCCGAAGCCGAGTCTGTGCTCCCCTCTGAAGCCTACGAGCAGACCAGGCACAGGGACATCAGAGAAGGAATGCAGATTATCACATTTATTCATTTTTAAGTGTAATGATTTGGTTGATCACATTTGGCTATTAGGTCTCATTCACAATGGCGATCGAAACACATATGGGCCATGTTCACCCACACGGAATGCAGAGGTGTTCCGTGCATTTGCATGCAGACAGTCCCATTCATGTCTATTGGAAAGCAGGAACTGTACAGACAGCAGCTAATTTGACAGCCAGGTAGGTGTGCAGCCCCAAATTGGGAACAGCGGCTGTGACATAGTCACTGATTCCCAGTAGACATGCATAGGACTGCCTGCATGGAACGCCTGTGTATCCTGCATGGAACGCCTGTGTATCCTGCATGGAACGCCTGTGCATCCTGCATGGAACGCCTGTGCATCCTGCATGGAACGCCTGTGCATCCTGCATGGAACGCCTGTGCATCCTGCATGGGTGAAGATGGCCCTTCACATAGATGTACGGATCAGTACACCCATGCAAATGAGGACTTACAGTTCTGGCTGTTTACGACCTAATTTCAAACTGTAAATCAGAGACCATCACTACATCAATCCAAACATTCCCTCCTCCACATCCCTGCATGCCTCCTATTCTGTACACTATCAGAGCAAAGGGAACATGGCCAAAAAGGGACAAAATGGCAAACTAAAGCAATGAGATCAGATGTGGTCAGTGTCCCTGCACTGCTCCAAGCAAGGGGTGGATGAACGGATGTCAATGTATAAGGCCCTTTTGTGTTGGCTGCTGGACGTTCGAGGTCCGTGTACTTGTCCAAGTTCCTTCTCTTGTCCGGGTCACTTGGGCCTTTCCTCCCAATGTTCCACTCCTTCCTATCCCTTTATTTTTGTGTGTGTGTGGGGGGGGGTTCCACAGTGATTAACACCTCTCTGTAATATACACGCACATACACACATACATACATATATATATATATACACATACATATATATATATTATATATACACACATACATATATATATATATATATATATATATATACACACACACATACACACATACATACATACATACATACATATTATATACATACATACATACATATATACACACACATATACATATATACATACATACATACATACACACAGATCCTCAGATGGACAAAACACTGAACACAGGATGTTCCTACCAAGCTTGTCACACATGGTAATGACCATTCACACCTCAGACCTCTCCCACCCTTGGAAACAAAAGATATGTTAATGACCAATGCACACCTCAGACCTCTCCCACCCTTGGAAACAAAAGATATGTTAATGACCAATGCACACCTCAGACCTCTCCCACCCTTGGAAACAAAAGATATGTTAATGACCATTCACACCTCAAATTCCTCATGAAGACCCCCTGCCAGGTGGCCTTAATGACTCCCTCCACCAGACACCTTTCCCACCCTTGGAAACAAAAGAAATGTGAATAAGCAACTCACACCTAAGCTAATCTCAACACATACTGCTGTCTCTGCTTCTACTCTCTGTATTTCTCTGAAACAGTCTGAAATAGTTAATAATTTACCACTTTTCAGTGCATTCTGGGCATTTTGGAGGTTCTCCTGTGCTTATTTTTAAATCCTTGGTGCCTCCCAGCCCTTTAAGGGTTTCAAAAGGCAGGGAAGCAGGGCAGGGTTTTAGGGTCATGTGACCGATGTGATTCGCCGTCACGGCGGTCACATGATCGGGAAAGGTCCCGATCGAAAGAGGAGATCGGGACCTTTCCATGAGTACCGGACATGTGTGCTGGGAGCGTGCAGGGTGCGCGCTCTCAGCACGTATGTTTTTCTTAATTGCACGGAAATGTGCGGCCACTCGGTGTCTAGGCCCAGACGCCAGGAGGCCACACATTTGCGTGACCAGCGTGAAGAGGTTAAATAACACTTCTAAAACACAAATGCACATAAACGCGGTGTGCGAACGCTGCTAAACAAATGTTTTTTAACAGTTTTCCAGAAGTTTTCATCGTTCAGAAGTGTCTCGTGTGCATGGGGCCTTACAGTTTTATGTACTGCACTTCTAGGTGCACCATTTAAAATGTTGACACAATAAATGACGGTTTTTTACATTTTTTTTTTTTCTTTTCCTGTAAAGTGAGTTGCACCATCAAAGTTCAAAGGGACTTTGATGGTGCAACTCACTTTACAGGAAAAGAAATCTCATCGTTCTCTGCTCTCTTGCCTTTTGAACCATCTATTGCAATGGGATGTGGTGCAGTTTAGCCATTCACACCATCGTGGGAATTGTCAACGCAAATGTTGACATGCCATCTCCTGTCTAAATCATCCCTAGTATGTGTATGTATGAATGTGAGTTAGGGGCCTTAGATTGTACGCCCCTTGAGGGTTAGGGACCTTAGATTGTACACCCCTTGAGGGTTAGGGACCTTAGATTGTACACCCCTTGAGGGTTAGGGACCTTAGATTGTACGCCCCCTTGAGGGTTAGGGACCTTAGATTGTACGCCCCCTTGAGGGTTAGGGACCTTAGATTGTACGCCCCTTGAGGGTTAGGGACCTTAGATTGTACGCCCCTTGAGGGTTAGGGACCTTAGATTGTACGCCCCTTGAGGGTTAGGGACCTTAGATTGTACGCCCCTTGAGGGTTAGGGACCTTAGATTGTACGCCCCTTGAGGGTTAGGGACCTTAGATTGTACGCCCCCTGAGGGTTAGGGACCTTAGATTGTACGCCCCTTGAGGGTTAGGGACCTAAGATTGTACGCCCCTTGAGGGTTAGGGACCTTAGATTGTACGCCCCTTGACTTGAGGGTTAGGGACCTTAGATTGTACATCCCTTGAGGGTTAGGGACCTTAGATTGTACGCACCTTGAGGGTTAGGGACCTTAGATTGTACGCACCTTGAGGGTTAGGGACCTTAGATTGTACGCACCTTGAGGGTTAGGGACCTTAGATTGTACGCACCTTGAGGGTTAGGGACCTTAGATTGTACACCCCTTGAGGGTTAGGGACCTTAGATTGTACGCCCCTTGAGGGTTAGGGTCCTTAGATTGTACACCCCTTGAGGGTTAGGGACCTTAGATTGTACCCCCCTTGAGGGTTAGGGACCTTAGATTGTACGCCCCTTCAGGGTTAGGGACTGATGTGAATGTACAATATATATGTAAAGAATGCGTAAATTGACGGCGTTATATAAGTACCTGTAATAAAATAAATGACAATGGCACCACATAGGTCAGGTTTTGCCATGATTAGGAGACTCCCAACATTTAAAGTCTAGCAAGCCTTCTGGAACTTTCAGCTGCACCAACAAGTTTGAGCTTGAGATCGAAGGATGACCATAATGCATTTCTGAATGGCAGTTACTAGGTGGAGCGATCTCGGTTACCTGAAAACTGTTCCACGATGACGTGTCTGAAGGCTGTGCAGGAGGCGCGGGGTCATTCAAACCTAAGATAGATCGAGAAAAGCAGACACGGGTCATCATTGGTCATAGCAAAAGCTGGGATTCCATCGTTTTTGTAGGAGTGTGATAGGGACATTTAATCATAGGCCAAGCCTGGAACCCAGAACAGGTGCATATTGCTGTGTGTGCCCCCGTTCTGAAGATTCAGCCTATTTCTCCTCTTTAATCATGATCACAGAGAAAGTGAAAAAGAAAGAAAATTTGGGGTTGTCACCAGAACAGGAAGTGGAGAAATTTTCCAAAGTGGGCACTAGTTCTGGTGACAACCAAGGATTTCCTTCCTTTGGAGGGATTTCCTCTCACTTCCTGTTTTGGCTATGGGACTGGAAGGGAAATCTCCCCAAAGGGACACAGATGGAAAAAAACTGACAGGGGTTATAACCCTCCCCCGTTAACTCTATCCCAAATGAAAAAAAAATTGCCCTTAGTTCTACTTTGACGTTGAGCTACTTTTACCCCCTTGACGTTGACGTAACACAAGTATGCGGCCTCACAGAACTGGGCTTTTTTTTTATGTGGGGCTGCATATTTGTGTACCGGTCACAGCAAATATGTCCGGGACTCACGGAAAGGTCCCGATCTCCCCTTGCGATCGGGACCTTTTCCGATCATGTGACCGCTGTGATTCGCGAATCACGGCGCTCACATGACCCTAAAACCCTGCCCCGCCTCCCAGCTTCTGAAACCTCTTAAAGGGTCGGGAGGCGCCGGTGCAAAGGGGGTTAAAGCAGAACTAAAGCGGTAATACCCTCCTTTCCAACAGTCCCTCTCCGGCGCAGGCATCTTCGCCCGTGTGTCGCTCTTCCGCTGTTTTCATTGACGGGAGCAAAAGGACGTCATTTGGGCCCACAGAGACCAGCCCAGTGCTGAAAGCTGAGCTGCGCATGCGCAAATCAGTTAACAGCACCATGCGCAGGCAGGGCCATTAAATTGCATTAGAGACATGCAGGGGCGGACTGACAACTCATGGGGCCCCCGGGCAATAGGGGATCATGGGGTCCCTGTGTCCTTGCCCAATCTCAAAAAAGCCTATGAAAAAGGTACCGGGGGCATCTCATGGGGCCCCCTACTGACCCCGGGCCCTCGGGCAGTGCCTGAGTTTCCAAATGGTCAGTCCACCCCTAGAGACATGGCATAACTCTTCTGCAATAATAGGCTGCTGGCTGTTTGTTACAGCAGAACTTCAGTGACATGAATGATAAAGGACGAAGGTATACCTAAAAGAACACCCAAATCCACAACTCCCGCTCAACACTCACCCTGCCTGTACATGGCCAATTTGGGCAGCTGGCTGGCCACTGTAGTCTATCTTCACTTCCTATCAGAAATATGAAAAATGTATGAGCCGCTCTCCACTTTTAGCTTCTCTTTCCCTACTTATTAATTGTCAACAAAGTGGCTGCATACAGAGCCTCCGCCTGGGAATCAACCTCCCTCGACGCGTTTCACCACTCATGGCTTGACCGGAAGACTTCCTTGTGAGCACGCCAGGAGTGAAGAAACGCATCAAGGAAGGTTGGTTCCCAGGCAGAGACTTTGTTGTATGCAGCAACTTTATTGACAACTAATAAATATGGCAAGAGATGCTAAAAGTGGCGTGCGGCTGATCCATTTTTTCAATTTCCAAAAGGACGGAGGTAGCAGCAGGCCCAGAACTAAAGCAAGAATCCAATCCAAAGTAATAATTTTCCCAGGATTTTCAACCACATCCTTACCGCGCTATACCCAAATGATGGCTACAGCGCGGTTGTCCAGCTCTGGGAGGGCGCCATATGATGTCCTCCTAGAACGTGCCCTCCTGCACGCCCCCCAGCAGTGCGCACCCCGGCCGTCTCGGTGATCGCTGTGTCCTACAGACACAGCTGATCACATGATGAGGTATAAGGCATATCACAGCGGCCTTTTACCACGTGATCAGCCGTGTCCAATGACACAGCAGGTCACCAAGTAAATACAGTTGCCGGTTATCGGCTGCACTTTCCTAACGCTGTCACAGCATGAGGAAAGTACTGCCGATAACCGGCAGCTGTCACAGAGCAGATCGGCACTGATCATCAGTGCCCTGCAGTGCCATCCACCAGTGCCCTGCAGTGCCACCCATCAGCTACTCCCATCAGTGCCGTCAGTCAGCACCGCCAGTCAGTTTTGCCCATCAGTGCCGCCTATCAGTGTAGCATAATTAGTGCCTCTTATCAATGCTCATCAGTGCCGCCTATCAGTGCAGTCTCATCAACGCACATCCGTGAAGGAGAAAAATTCCCTGTCTGCAAAGTTTTATAAATAGAAACAAAAGAAAATATTTTTTTTTCTAAATGTTTTTTTCTCGTTTTTTTGTTAATAGTGCAAAAAATAAAACACCCAGTGGCGCTTAAATACCCCCAAAAGAAAGCTCTTTTTGTTTGAAAAAGAATGATAAAAAATGTCAAATGGGTACAGTGTTGCATGACTGCGCAATTGTCATTCAAAGTGCGACAGCGCTAAAACCTGAAAATTGTCCTGGGCAGGGGGGGAAAGTGTCCATTATTAAAGTGGTTAAAGCGGAGCTCCCCTCAAAAGGGGGAAGCTCCGCTTTAAGGACAGCTCCCCCGCTTCCCATTAAGGATTGGCACCTTTGGGGGAAGGGGGGGGGGGAGTTGTGGGTACCCAAATGTGACGGGTGGGTACCCGCTCCCACTTCCGGTCTAGGCGACTGGAAAAGGAAAGTATCCTCCCTCCCTGTAGCCTTTTGGGACACGTGATAGGTCCCTGAAGACTACAGGACCATTTTGGTAGCGCAGAGCTACTCGCACATGCGCAGTGGGCACCCGGCTGTGAAGCCGCAAGCTATCACAGCCGGGTGCCCACACAGAAGATGCCGGCCTCCTGGAATACAGGACGGCCAGTGAAACGGGCTGTGGGGGACACACCACGGGACTGAGGGACAGGTAAGTGGCTGTTTTTAAAAAGTCAGCAGCTACAGTTCTTGTAGCTACTTTTATTTTTTGACAGGTGAGTGGAGCTCCGCTTTAAGTCCGAACTACAGCTGAAGCCCCCTATTGCCTGCACCATTATTATTATACAGGATTTATATAGCGCCAACAGTCTGAGCGGTGCTTTACACTATAAAGTGACGACACAATACAAGAGGGATCAGAGGGCGCTGCCCACAAGAGCTTACAGTCTAATACGTTAGCACAGCCAAGGGTTCGGCTCCTCACCTAGTGACATGAGTTCGTCATCGAGCAGCGATAACGATGCCGAGGCTGAGGGGGCGCTGGAAGAATATGGCAGGGGCTGGGCTGGAACAGAAGGGTATGAAGGAGCGGCTGCAGAGGTCATATCCAGTCCTGAGAGATCCAGCAGAGCAGAAGAACTGGCTGAGAGAAGACAAAAAGATATTCACCCAGAGATTCAACATCACCGATCCCAACTAGTGGGGGGGTCCAAGGTCTGCTCACCTGGCATATTGCTGGAAGACGTCTCTCCATTGATTTCTTCCCCTTTCACCAGCTGGCGGTAAGTATTGATAACCTGCGTTAGGCTGTCATTGGCCTGTAATATTTCCGCTTGGAAAAAAAAAAAAAAAAGGTCACTGATGTGGGTTTAAATTCAAAAAAGCCAAACATTTTATAAAATGTTTAATACAATCCAAGTACAAGAGGAATGTGGATTCTTCCTGAATCTCGGTGAGCTTTGTGTATGTCTTCCAGATCTGTGCAGTCATTCAGTGTGGGACTTCCTGGAATAAAGACCGCTCACTGCTGCTCTCTCTGCTTGTGCAGGGCGACTGGTCTCATCTCCGCCCCCCTCCTGTAGTTTCTTGTAGTGGGTGGGGCCTGTACAGTGATGATGTCAGTACTACATTTTCAAGGTAATAACTAGACCTACAGAGGCATTTGTCACACACACTGGATTTAAAGCCATAACTTTATGACCACCCACTCAATATCCACAATAGGTCACCCTTTTGCCAATAAAACACCCCTGCCCATTGAAGCATGGATGCCAAAAGACCTCTGAAGGTAGGATGTGGTATCGGCATCAAGCCATCAGTAGAAGATCCTTTAACCTCCCTAGCGGTCTGATTATGTCAGTATTTCTGTGCTCAAAGCGGTACATTTTTTTGCATGGAAATATGTATTTTTTTATTGTAGGCCTGTAATTTTTAGGAATAACTCACTGAAATCTGTACAAACAAGAGTCTAGTAAACATCCCGGGGAGGATAAAATTTGAAACACGAAATCATAAATTATAATTTAATAAATCATAAAAATAATAATAAATGTAATTCAATAATGTAATCAAACCAAAAACACTGAAATGTGAAATAGAGCGCCAAGTTCGCACATCGCTGAGCAAAGTCGCAGAATCGTTTTCAGTGTCTGATGAGGAATTTCCCCCACCAATCATTATCACTCAATTCTGCAAGTGGTTCTGATTTACTATCGCTGTTCTCTAGCCGGTCTAAAACCACTTTTGACGTAAAGGGACGCTTTTTAGACGCCATGGACGTTTCTCAGTTTCCAGGCAGAAAGAACAGTAAAAATGCAGGCAGGGCGCCGGACAAAGCACTCGGGACAAAATGTATGTGAAATGGTTTGATACAGGAATGTTATACTCTGTGATTTTAGTGTATTTAGTGAATGTCACTTTTTCACGTTTTCAAATTTCCCGCCAGTTCTGTCCCCCGTACGTCCCGACGTCGCAAGGAACGGAATCCAGAAGACAGATGCCGGCATCGACCGGAGGACATTGCTGGGGACACTGCAGGGGGGACATCGCGGGAGCGCAGGACAAGGTAAGTGAGGAAGAGATCCCGGAGCAACGCTGCAGTGTATTCCCGAGTGTAGCTCAGGGGGGGGTTACCGCTTGTGGAGCTGAAACTTTACCCCGAGCTACACTCAGGAATACCGCCAGGGGGGGTTAAAGTGGGAAATTAAAGTTCCAGTGAAACTGTAATAAAAAAAATTAAAAAAAACTTTTAAAAACATCCACTCACCTGTCCCTCGATCCCACGGTGTCCTCACAGCAGCCGGTTCACCGGTCGTCCTGTGTTCCTGGCACTGGCATCTTCGATGTGGGCACCTGGCTGTGACAGCTCACGGCTTCACACCCGGGTGCCCACTGTGTATGCGCGAGAAGCGCTGCGCTTTCTAAATGGTTCTGTAGTCTTCTGGGATCGGTCACATGTCCCGGAAGACTACAGGGAAGGAGAAAGTGAGGACAACCTCTGCTTCCGTTCCCTAGGCCAGGGGTAGGCAAGCAAAAAAAAAGAGGGGTTGTGAAAAGAAATTCACAAAGAAAGCGGCTACATTAAGAACAGAATGTGATACTCAGAAAAATTTCCAAAAATTATACTTTATTACACATACAAATTTGACATATGGGCAATCGCCCTGGTTTACCATCACCTCAGTATGAGACAATACACACAGACCTAAAACCATATAAAATGACACCAATACCGGTCTGAATGCATGTGCAACAAGGACAATGACTACAAGAGTCTAAAGTCCCTGTAGCACAGGCGCATAGGTGGACACTTCCTGCGGCTCTCCAGCTGTTGCAGGACTACAAGTTCCATCATGCCTCTGCAAGTCATAGCTGTAACTGTCAGTTTTGTAATGTTGCAATGCCTCATGGGAAATGTAGTTCCATAACAGCTAGAGAGCCGCTGCTTTTTATCACGTTGGTTTGTGAGTATATAATCCTTTTTTATTAATAAATACGTGGATTACCACGGTAATGCACGACGAGAGTGCGCCCTTGTTTGTTTTTTTTTCCACTAGTGGCCAGATTACCCGATCTCAGAAGGGCAGCAACTCTTCGGTTGGCATTTTGACATGTCCTTGGTTTGCATGAAGATTTGAGCGCTGGTTCTGTTTTGTTCATCTAGAGAGCCGCAGGTTGCCTACCCCTGACCTAGGCAGTCGCAGCAGAAGTGGGAGTACCCGTCAATTTCAGGTACCTGCTCCCCAAAAGGTGCCGATCCTTAACAGGGAGCGGGGGACCAGTCCTTAAAGCAGAACGTCCCCTTTTGGGTGGCGTTCCGCTTTTACTTAAACTGGCGTACTCAGAATCTGGTGCAGCTGTGAGTAGTAGCCAATCAGATTCTGACTTCAGCTTGTTCAATTCAGCCTTGGTGATAAAACCTGGAAGCCGATTGGTTTCTGTGAAGAGCTGCACCAGATTTTGCACCGTGCAGCTTTAGTAAATAACCTCCTACGTGTGATAGAACACCCCACAGCCTTCTTACCTAAAGCCTCATCATTGTCTTCTGTGTCGCTGGCCAAGCGGAAAAAGCGTGGGCCTCATCTTCTCACATCTCTGGTACAGCTCCTGTTCAGTGAATAGGAAACAAGTCATGGGAAGAGATCTTGTCGGTTGGAGGTTGGAGGATGCCTTGCGTGATCCAACAACACTTACCTTCATTAAATCCTCGCTTCCCTCGGAGGACTGCCCGGCTCGGTACGTACTCAGCATCTCACCCAGCAGCCTCACATTATTATTTACTTCTTCTATAGCATGTACACGCTTGGATATTTTTTCCATTCGTTTCTGATCCTGCCAAAAGCGAAGGGAACAGAATGTGAAGCTCGACCTGCAACAACCCTGAAACAACCATATAAAACATCCCTGACGCCTAGAATACTTTAACCACTTCACGTCCGGCCCATGTACATAAACAGCCGGACGGGAGCAGTGCAGGAGCGGGTGGATGTTTATAAACGGCCCCCACATTCACTGCCTGTGCGCGCTCCCTGGGAGTGCGTGGCACCATGATCCGATGCCCGCTATGTCCTCCGAACACCGATCGCTGTACGAGACCTCTGTGTGAGGTCCCGATCATGTGATCACTGATTGGCCAATCAGTGATCACATGAATAGTAGTAAGCAACATGCCACTTCCGACATCATTGCTTACTACTAATGAAATCTGTGAATGATCACAGAGGTCACATGGTACAAGGCTATTCACAACAGCCTTGTACCATGTGACAAGCTGTGACCAATCACAGCTCTCACAGTATTTTTCAATGGCTGCAAGAATGCAGCCAGAGAGGAGAAGTGATTGCTTTTTTTATCATGTAATAAAGAAAAAAAAAAAAAATCTTCATCACCCCCCACAGGTAGTACAGTATCACTATGGTGACACTGAACTGCTAGGGTGACAGTATGTTAAAAAAAAAACAAATAAAAATATAAAAAAAAAAATTAGAAAAATTATAATTTTTGGTTATAAACTAATTTGGGTTTTTTTTTTTTACTAAAAAGAAAAACAAATAAATTTTGGCCAAGATTTAAGAAGAAAGGTTATTTGCTAAATTTTATAAGAAAAACATTTTTCTTCAAAATTGTTTGGACTTTTTCATTTATATAGCAAAAAATAAAAAATAAAAATCCCAGCGGTGAATGAATACCACCAAAATAAAGTTTTATCCGTCTTAAAAAAATGCTAAAAAATTCATATGGGTATAGTGTTGCATGACCGCGCAATTGTCATTCAAAGTGTGATAGCGCTGAAAGCTGAAAATTGGCCTGGACTGGAAGGGGGGGGAGAGCGTCCGGACTGGAAGGGGGGGGGGGGGGGGGGGAAGCGTCCGGACTGGAAGGGGGGGGAGAAGGGGGGGGGGGGGGAGGAGAAGCGTCCGGACTGGAAGGGGGGGGGGGGGGAAGCGTCCGGACTGGAAGGGGGGGGGAAGGGGGAAGGGGGGGTGGGGGAAGCGTCCGGACTGGAAGGGGGGGGGGGGGGAAGCGTCCGGACGTGGACTGGAAGGGGGGGGGGGGGGGAAGCGTCCGGACTGGGGTGGGGGGGAAGGGGGGGGGGGGAAAGCGTCCGGACTGGAAGGGGGGGAAAGCGTCCGGACTGGAAGGGGGGGGGGGGGGAAAGCGTCCGGACTGGAAGGGGGGGAAAGCGTCCGGACTGGAAGGGGGGGGAAAGCGTCCGGACTGGAAGGGGGGGAAAGCGTCCGGACTGGAAGGGGGGGGAAAGCGTCCGGACTGGAAGGGGGGGAAGCGTCCGGACTGGAAGGGGGGGGAAAGCGTCCGGACTGGAAGGGGGGGAAAGCGTCCGGACTGGAAGGGGGGGGAAAGCGTCCGGACTGGAAGGGGGGGGGGGAGCGTCCGGACTGGAAGGGGGGGAAAGCGTCCGGACTGGAAGGGGGGGAAAGCGTCCGGACTGGAAGGGGGGGGGGGGGGGGGGAAGCGTCCGGACTGGAAGGGGGGGAAAGCGTCCGGACTGGAAGGGGGGGAAAGCGTCCGGACTGGAAGGGGGGGAAAGCGTCCGGGGGGGGGAAAGCGTCCGGGAGTGGAAGGGGGGGGAAAGCGTCCGGAAGCTGGAAGGGGGGGGGAAAGCGTCCGGACTGGAAGGGGGGGAAAGCGTCCGGACGGACTGGAAGGGGGGGGAAAGCGTCCGGACTGGAAGGGGGGGGGGGGATGAAAGCGTCCGGACTGGAAGGGGGGGAAAGCGTCCGGACTGGAAGGGGGGGGGAAAGCGTCCGGACTGGAAGGGGGGGGAAAGCGTCCGGACTGGAAGGGGGGGAAAGCGTCCGGACTGGAAGGGGGGGAAAGCGTCCGGACTGGAAGGGGGGGAAAGCGTCCGGACTGGAAGGGGGGGAAAGCGTCCGGACTGGAAGGGGGGGAAAGCGTCCGGACTGGAAGGGGGGGAAAGCGTCCGGACTGGAAGGGGGGGAAAGCGTCCGGACTGGAAGGGGGGGGGGGGGGGGGGGGGGAAGCGTCCGGACTGGAAGGGGGGGAAAGCGTCCGGACTGGAAGGGGGGGGGGAAGCGTCCGGACTGGAAGGGGGGGAAAGCGTCCGGACTGGAAGGGGGGGAAAGCGTCCGGACTGGAAGGGGGGGGGGGGGAGCGTCCGGACTGGAAGGGGGGGAAAGCGTCCGGACTGGAAGGGGGGGAAAGCGTCCGGACTGGAAGGGGGGGAAAGCGTCCGGACTGGAAGGGGGGGAAAGCGTCCGGACTGGAAGGGGGGGGAAAGCGTCCGGACTGGAAGGGGGGGAAAGCGTCCGGGACTGGAAGGGGGGGAAAGCGTCCGGACTGGAAGGGGGGGGAAAGCGTTCGGACTGGAAGGGGGGGAAAGCGTCCGGACTGGAAGGGGGGGAAAGCGTCCGGACTGGAAGGGGGTGAAAGCGTCCGGACTGGAAGGGGGTGAAAGCGTCCGGACTGGAAGGGGGGGGAAAGCGTTCCGGACTGGAAGGGGGGGAAAGCGTCCGGACTGGAAGGGGGTGAAAGCGTCCGGACTGGAAGGGGGTGAAAGCGTCCGGACTGGAAGGGGGTGAAAGCGTCCGGACTGGAAGGGGGGAAAGCGTCCGGACTGGAAGGGGGGGAAAGCGTCCGGACTGGAAGGGGGGGAAAGCGTCCGGACTGGAAGGGGGGGAAAGCGTCCGGACTGGAAGGGGGGGGAAAGCGTCCGGACTGGAAGGGGGGGGAAAGCGGGAAAGGGGGGGAAAGCGTCCGGACTGGAAGGGGGGGGGGAGAGCGTCCGGACTGGAAGGGGGGGAAAGCGTTCCGGACTGGAAGTGGTTTAAAGTCCAACTCCGGGGAAATCTGAAAATTCTCTCTTGCAGTGGGGCTGCACCCACATGGCTCGTTTAGGTCTAGGGGAGAGTAAAAGCGGATTTACTTGCCCAATCCTCTGCTCTCCTTGCAGATGCTACTCCCTTGTGCTCCAGTGGTGGTTGTCCCTTGGCGTCCTCTTGTCCAGTGAAGAGCTTTGGACTCTGCATTGGTCTTGATGACGTCAAAACTTTAGACCTGCTAGAGCATGGGGGGAGAAGGTGCCATGGGGGCTAGTCTAGCAGTGGAGGAGTGGGTAAAGTAAATGTAATTCTCCATAGCCCCTAGGCCAGGGGTAGGCAACCTGCGGCTCTCCAGCTGTTGCACGACTACAAGTTCCATCAAGCCTCTGCAAGTCATAGCTGTACCTGTCAGTTTTGAATAGTTTCATGGGAAATGTAGTTCCATAACAGCTAGAGAGACGCAGGTTGCCTTTCCCTGACCTAGAGCTAAGCAAGCAGATAATCATTGTAGTGGAGGTGCACCCCACTGCAAGGGAGAATGTTCATGTTTCCTGGTATTGAGCTTCAAGAAGGCCGTTGTATGAAATGCAATGTAATACAACCAATACACCCAAGCAGTCTGGCCGACTCTGGTGGACCAACACATCCCTCCTTACCTCCTGCACCATTTCTTTAATGAGCTTGTTGGCAGCTCGTAAGTCTTCGGGGTGAGTGCTCTTCAGCAGGCGGGCCAACATCTGCCGGGAGGAGGAAAGACATTGGATAAAGACCCTGTTTGTGATCACACTATAAAAAGACACAATACAAGTTGGTGATCTAGAAGAACAATGGGGGGCTATAACAGACATTACTAACCTTTTATACAAGTGTGATAGCTTTCTGGGACCTGAACTGCCAGGTCACTGGGAGACCGGATATAGCGAACGCGGGTTCCGGGGAGAGCGGATATAGGGAACGCGGCGTCCGGGGAGAGCGGATATAGGGAACGCGGCGTCCGGGGAGAGCGGATATAGGGAACGCGGGGTCCGGGGAGAGCGGATATAGCGAACGCGGGGTCCGGGGAGAGCGGATATAGCGAACGCGGGGTCCGGGGAGAGCGGATATAGCGAACGCGGGGTCGGGGAGAGCGGATTTATAGCGAACGCGGGGTCCGGGGAGAGCGGATATAGCGAACGCGGGGTCCGGGGAGAGCGGATATAGCGAACGCGGGGTCCGGGGAGAGCGGATATAGCGAACGCGGGGTCCGGGGAGAGCGGATATAGCGAACGCGGGGTCCGGGGAGAGCGGAATATAGCGAACGCGGGGTGGGGGAGAGCGGATATAGCGAACGCGGGGTCCCGGGGGAGAGCGGATATAGCGAACGCGGGGTCCGGGGAGAGCGGATATAGCGAACGCGGGGTCCGGGGAGAGCGGATATAGCGAACGCGGGGTCCGGGGAGAGCGGATATAGCGAACGCGGGGTCCGGGGAGAGCGGATATAGCGAAGCGGGGTCCGGGGAGAGCGGATATAGCGAACGCGGGGTCCGGGGAGAGCGGATATAGCGAACGCGGGGTCCGGGGAGAGCGGGATATAGCGAACGCGGGGGGGTCCGGGGAGAGCGGATATAGCGAACGCGGGGTCCGGGGAGAGCGGATATAGCGAACGCGGGGTCCGGGGAGAGCGGATATAGCGAACGCGGGGTCCGGGGAGAGCGGATATAGCGAACGCGGGGTCCGGGGGGGGGAAAGCGGATATAGCGAACGCGGGGTCCGGGGGGGGAAAGGGATATAGCGAAACGCGGGGTCCGGGGAAAGCGGATATAGCGAACGCGGGGTCCGAGGGAGAGCGGATATAGCGAACGCGGGGTCCGGGGGAGGAGAGCGGATATAGCGAACGCGGGGTCCGGGGAGAGCGGATATAGCGAACGCGGGGTCCGGGGAGAGCGGATATAGCGAACGCGGGGTCCCGGGGAGAGAGCGGATATAGCGAACGCGGGGTCCGGGGAGAGCGGATATAGCGAACGCGGGGTCCGGGGAGAGCGGATATAGCGAACGCGGGGTCCGGGGAGAGCGGATATAGCGAACGCGGGGTCCGGGGAGAGCGGATATAGCGATAGACGAACGCGGGGTCCGGGGAGCGGAACGCGATCGCGGGGTCCGGGGAGAGCGGATATAGCGAACGCGGGGTCCGGGGAGAGCGGATTATAGCGATCGCAGGGTCCGGGGAGAGAGCGGATATAGTGAACGCGGGGTCCGGGGAGAGCGGAGTCCTTGAAACGCGTTAACCTGTTGGAGGTCCAGGCTTCCCATTGTGGACATCACCAAATGGTTAAATATTAATAAATTGTTTTTTTAAAGGGAATGCACTAGGCCAGTGTGCCCTCTGTTTCTTTTTCTTTGCATCCGGTGTTTTTGGGCTTCCCCAGTCCTTTGAGGGCAGCAAGGCGTGCATTTTCTAAGACAGTCGATATGTGTTGTAGCCTTTGTGGAGTCCATTTCCAAGTGCAAGAAACAAGTATTTGCTCCCCTGCTGATGTTGAATGTTCGCCCCCTCACAAAGAAATGATCGGTCTACAAATCGAATGTTCGGTGTAACACTGAGAGACAGAATAGCAACAACAAATTCAGCAGAAATGTGTCTAACAAATGATGACTGATCTGCATGTTCATGAGGGAAAGAAGGATTTGATCCCCTTCACAAAACATGACTTAGTACTTGGTGGCAAATCCCTTGTTGGCAATCACAGAGGTCAGACGTTTCCTGGAGTTGGCCCTCAGGTTTGCACACATCTCAGGAGGGATTTTGGCCCACTCCTCTTGGCAGATCCTCTCCAAGTCATTAAGGTTTGGTGGCTGACATTTGGCAACTCGAACTTTCAGCTCCCTCCACAGATTTTCAATCAGATGAAGGTCTGGAGACTGGCTAGGCCACTCCAGGACCTTAATGTGCTTCTTCTATTTTCAATGCCCTGGCTGAGGGAAGAATGTTCTCACCCAAGATTTGATGGTACATTGCCCCGCCCATCGTCCCTTTGATGCGGTGCAGTTGTCCTGTCCTGCCCTTAGCAGAAAAACACCCCCAAAGCAGAATGTTTCCACCACGTTTCACAGTTGGGAGCATTCCTCCTCCTCCAAACACGGCAAGTTGAGTTGATGCCAAAGACCTCGACACTTCCAACCAGTCCTCCTCTGCATCATTCAGATGTTCAGTGGCAGACTTCAGACGGGCCTGGACATGTGCTTTCTTGAGCAGAGGGACCTTGCGGGCACTGCAGGATTTCAGTCCTTGTCGGCGTAGTGTGTTACCAATTGTTTTCTTGGTGACTGTGGTCCCAGCTGCCTGGAGATCATTGACAAGATCCTCACGTGTAGTTCTGGGATGATTCCTCACTGTTCTCATGATCATTGACACTCCACGAGGGGAGATCTTGCATGGTGCACCAGACCTAGGGAGACTGACACTTGTTTTGTGTTTCTTCCATTTGTGAATGATTGCACCGACTGTTGTCACCTTCTCACCAAGCTGCTTGGCCATAGTTTGGTAGCCCAGTCCAGCCTTGTGTAGGTCTACAATCTTGTCCCTGACATCCTTGGACAGCTCTTTGGTCTTTGCCATGGTGGAGAGTTTGGAATCTGATGGTTTGATTGCTCCTGTGGACAGGTGTCTTATACAGGTAACAAAATGAGATTAGCAGCACTCCCTTTAAGAGACTGCTTCTAATCTCAGCTTGTTACCTGTATGAGAGACACCTGGGAGCCAGAAATCCTGCTGAATGATAGGGGATCAAATCCTTCTTTCCCTCATGAACATGCAGATCAGTCATCATTTGTTAGACGCATTTCTGCTGAATTTTTTGTTGCTATCCTGTCTCTCAGTTTTACAATACACCGAACATTCGATTTGTAGACCGATCATTTCTTTGTGAGGGGCGAACATTCAACATCAGCCGGGGATCAAATACGCATTTCCTTCACTGTATGTGTACACCATTTTCACATATACCGACTCTCCGCGATGAAAATTATGAAAACGGCTTTCCTCTCCCAGACCTGAACTGGAATACGTACCTTGGATTTCTCGTCATCATCAAAAATCGCATTCTTGGGCCTTGGTGGAGGGAGGGGCATCATTGCTTCCGCTGGCAATTGGGGGTCTTCCTTTAAGATCCCTACAAAAAAGAGGGTGACGTGGTGTGTTGACATGACACTAAACAGAGCTGCATTCACAGTTCTCATTTATCAGCTCACCTTGCTTCTTCAGCATCTGGTAGGCCTCTGTGATCTTCACTTCATTGGGGAGTCCGAGTGTCCAGCTGTACAGCAGTTCTAAAATCTTCTGCTTCACTTTTTCGGGAGAGCGCGTACCGAGGTACTGAGGAGTAACAGAGGATGATCATTACAATGACTGAAACTGAGAGATAAGGGCTCATGTACACTGCGGCTGATAAACTGACGTTCAGGAGCTGTTCAGCATTTATTTCAGCAGCCCCTGAACTCTCCCTAATGTCCTCCTCTGTGTCCATGTACTTCCATTACAATACCGCTTCCCCGTCCGAACACCGACCACAGCCAACCATACAAGACTAGATGGCACCAATCTTGAAGTAAACCAGGAGGTAGACTCGTTTACTTGAACACATATACAAGATATATACACTCAGGGGACAGTCCCCCCTCCCTGCATAATGACACAGGGCGGGGCACTCTACATTAAGTAACAAGAGACACACGGGTATTCAAACTTCACACCAGCAGACAGTCCCATCAGGAGGGAGGGCTGCTGGAGACACCCTCCACTAAGCTAATACACATAAACACATACATCCCATAATAGTTTGCTTCCAAGCAAGACAAACAATAGAACAATGGGATGCAACCACATAACATCAATCAGCAACACCCCAACCCCAATATTAGGACAGATCACCCTGTACCCCTAACAGGCACAGGGTGACTTACACATAAGAGGGAGCTGAGACAGGGGTCTCCCCATCTCTCCAAAGTGAGCTGGGTTCCATGGGGTCCCCCCACCCAAAGTGACTCCCGGCACACATAGGCCCTATGGAGACCCTTACCCCTTGAGTATAGGGTAGCCCTGGAGTAGATTAAAAACTGAGCGGCACATTTTTATAGGGAGGTAATCGATTGATTGCACATTGGTGGTCCATAATTTGCCACTTTAAATATAATATATGGAAAATATAGCATGCAGCTCAAGATCGAGCACGCAAGAGTGCCCTATGGGGGCCCTCGGGGGGAGCCAGAGGCATCAGTGGGGGGATAGGAGGATTGGGGCTGCTCCCGTCACATTGAGACTACATTTTTTTTTTTTTGAACGCACCAAACTTGCATTCAGGAGTAGAATTTACCAGCATTTCAAACGCCAAATGTCTGTAAACACTGTTAACCGCGTTTATAAACGTTTGCGCTTAGAAGTGTTTTTTAACTGTTCCATATCCAGATGCTGTCCGGAGCCTTTTTTCATCATCAGAAATGCATGCAAAGCATTTTCCTTGTATTCCAATGGACCCGGTACACCGGCGCAGTCAGTTCCAGGTTTCGCGTGAAGGAAACAATGGTAGAACGCGTCGCATTCTGCTCATGATGGGATCCATAGTGAATACAACCAGAAAAGACCGGTCATCTCAACACATACTGCTCGCTCTGCTTCTGCTCTCTCTATTTCTCTCAAAATGTTTGAAAGTTATTTACTATTTTTCAGTGCATTCTGGGCATTTGGGAAGTTCTCCTGAGGTTATCTTTTAAAAACGCTCCTAAACGTGCATAAACGCGGTATGCAAATGCGGCTAAACTGACATTTTTTTAAACCTACGTTTTCCAGCTGTTTCCATTGATCAGAAGAGTTTTCTAAACGCCCCGTGTACATGGAGCCCTAACAGAGTATCATCATGACATGGACTAAGGAATGAGTGTCTCTGCTTCTCCCACAATGGGGAGATCCCCCCTAGTAGCCTGTATACTATATACGCAAATGTGCAGGCGCTCGCAGTCTAGGCCCAGATGCCGGGAAACCGCACATTTGCGTTCGGCCGGCGTGAAGAGGTTAACAATAACATATAAAACCATTTATAACTCCGCCCCAAATTACATCACCAATCTTGTCTCCAAATATCACCCAAACCGTCCTCTCCGCTCCTCGCATGACCTCCTGCTCTCTAGCTCCCTCGTCTCTTCCTCCCATGCTCGTCTCAAGGACTTCTCCAGAGCCTCCCCCATCCTCTGGAACTCTCTACCCCCGTCTATCAGACTATCACCTACTCTGCTCACTTTTAGGTGATCTCTGAAAACCTCTCTCTTCAGGGAAGCCTATCCTGCCCTCAGCTAATAATGGAATCTTCTACTTCTCCTACCAGTCCATCCCCCACAGTTACTACCTTTTGTACCACTAGCCCCTCCCTCCTAGATTGTAAGCTCCAAGGATCAGGACCCTCCTATCCCTCTTGTATTGAACTGTATTGTTGCTGTATTGTCTCCCGTTATATTGTACAGTGCTGAGCAAACTGTTGACGCCATAAATCCTGTATAATAATAATATATAAAATCCTGTATAATAATAATAATAATATATAAAATCCTGTATAATAATAATAATAATAATATATAAAATCCTGTATAATAATAATAATATATAAATCCTGTATAATAATAAATAAATCCTGTATAATAATAATAATAATACCTGCATAGGTAGTTTTTTGGTAAAGGTGATTTGACCCCTTAACGCCGGCGCCTCCTGGCCCTTTAAGGGTTCCAGAAGCCGAGAGGCGGGCTGGGGTTTAGGGTCATGTGACCGCCGTGACACGCCGTCACATGATCAGGAAAGGTACCAATCGAAAGAGATCAGGACCTTTTCGTGAGTACCGGACATATGTGCTGGGAGCGCACAGGGCGCGTGCTCTCAGTACACGTCCTTTTTTAATAGAACGCAAATGTGCGGCCGCTCGGCGTCTAGGCCCAGACACCGGGAGGCCGCACATTTGTGTTTTGCGGCCGGCGTGAAAAGCTTAAAGTGAAAGAGAGCATTGCAGTGGAAAATCATCTGATGAGATGGCCAGGTAATGAAGAGACCACCAACATCCATTGTGCAGGAGACCAATTCACAGTCCGGGTCTCCTACTCATCTCCCCACTAATACCTACAGCGGAGACATGACTTTGTATTGGTCTGCTCTCTGAACGAAAATCCGAGAGATCTGAACAATTCTCACCTTCGGAGAGACGACTTTAATCAGCTCATTAAGGAACCGAAATTTTCCAACCTCGCTGTGAAACCTTTTCCCGCAGCTTTTCATACACGCCTCTAGAACCTGAAAAAGATGTTAAGACGATGAGCGATCAGGAAAACTTTTTTTTTTTTTTAATTTAATTTTATTGACAACCTAACAGACGCACACTACTAAGAATAACTGTGTAAAAGAGTGAAGTGTTTACGCCCACCTGTACACGGATGATGCTGTAGGATATAACATGGACATTTAAAATGGGATATAAAACGAGCGCTAGGTAAGAAGCTGCTAGCATCAAGGTATGACTCCTGAATGCAGTCTGAGGTAGACAAGCTCCTTAATGGATATAAGGAGTGCTGATGTGACAGTTCTGTTATGAAATCCAATGCGGTATCCAGTGAAAGAATGGTAAGATTGCCTACTAACCAGAAGCGCAATCAATATGCGCATACAGGAATCCAAGACCAGCTGGAAGTCTGATGTGGGAACAGCCAGGTGGAATGTTGATGTGCTCCAGGGGGTTCCTCAATCAAATAATGGGTGCTGGTCTGGTCTATCACCTCTCCTCTGGTCCGAATGGAACACCAGGGGGTCCCTCAATCCAGTAGTGGGTGCAGGTATGGTCTATCACCTCCCTCCTCTGGTCCGAATGGGACGTCTGGGGTCCTGGACTGCTCTGTGCAGCCCTCTGCTCTCCTTGCTCGGCTCACGTGTTCCTGCAGCGAGGAGAGCAGAGGGCTGCACAGAGCAGTCCAGGACCCCAGACGTCCCATTCGGACCAGAGGAGGGAGGTGATAGACCAGACCTGCACCCACTACTGGATTGAGGGACCCCCTGGTGTTCCATTCAGACCAGAGGAGAGGTGATGGTCTGGTCTATCACCTCTCCTCTGGTCAGAATGGAACACCAGGGGGTCCCTCGATCCAGTAGTGGGTGCAGGTCTGGTCTATCACCTCCTCATCTGGTCCGAATGGGACGTCTGGGGTCCTGGACTGCTCTGTGCAGCCCTCTGCTCTCCTTGCTCGGCTCACGTGTTCCTGCAGCGAGGAGAGCAGAGGGCTGCACAGAGCAGTCCAGGACCCCAGACGTCCCATTCGGACCAGAGGAGGGAGGTGATAGACCAGACCTGCACCCACTACTGGATTGAGGGACCCCCTGGTGTTCCATTCGGACCAGAGGAGAGGTGATAGACCAGACCAATACCCATCATTTGATTCAGGGACCCCCTGGAGGACATCAACATTCCACCTGGCTGTTCCCACATCAGACGACTTCCAGCTGGTCTTGGATTCCTATATATGAACGAATGAAACTGGAGCTCCAGTCTTCATACAACCAAGGCGATGCCAAAATGCCAACCGAAGAGGTGCTGCCCTTCTAAGATCGGGAAATCTGACCACTAGTGAAAAAGAACAGACAAGGGCGCACTCTCATCGTGCATTACCGTGGTATAACACACGTTTATTAAATAAAAAGAGGATATATACTCACAAACCAACGTGGTAAAAGGCAGTAAAAGTAGTCCACAAAGACAGTCACAATGGATCTGTGTCTAATGATGCAGATAGGCTAACGCGTTTCGGGAGCTGAACCCCCTTCCTCAGAGCTATAGTAGCTCTGAGGAAGGGGGTTCAGCTCCCGAAACGCGTTAGCCTATCTGCATCATTAGACACAGATCCATTGTGACTGTCTTTGTGGACTGCTTTTTACCACGTTAGTTTGTGAGTATATATCCTCTTTTTATTTCATAAACACGTGTTATACCACGGTAATGCACGATGAGAGTGCGCCCTTGTCTGTTGGATTCCTATATGCGCATATTGATTGCGCTTCTGGTTAGTAGGCAATCTTACCATTCTTTCACTGGATACCGCATTGGATTTCATAACAGAACTGTCTCCTCAGCACTCCTTATATCCATTAAGGAGCTTGTCTACCTCAGACTGTATTCATTCATTTTCTATTACTTTAGCGCTGCACTTTATTTCTTTATTTTGCTTGCTATCGAAAGGTTTTGTGGTTCCTTTTATCAGTGCATTTAGCTGCATACGTGTGCGTTCGCTAGGCCTCCACAGTTTTTGAAGGTATAACTCCTATCCTCTAAAAAAAAAAAAAAAAAAAAAAAAAAAAAAAAAAAATCATAAAATGGATGCAGCGCTAAAATGATAAATAGTAATACAAGTGAAATATAAGCAAACGCCAGCAGGCATGAAAGTGATAAATTCAGAAAACGTCCAAATTTCACGTATAAATAGTGAAAACAAGAATCAATGATCAATAATCAATAGATTGTAGTCAAGTGACAATAGTGGTGAATATGAAGTCCACTGAAAAAATAATTCAATTCCGTAAATTCCGTGACTTGAGTGATGAGAAAATGGTAATGTGAATGCACGAACCACAAGCGCAATCTTTTTGCGTATTTGTGTAAAAGGTAAATCCCGTCATAATCATCTGGATATGGATCGGACCAAGGCAATCATCTGGCACACCTCAGCATACAAGTTGATTAACGGACCATACGCACATCATCCAGGGACATCTCATCATATGTTCATGACCGATGGACAGGGACCCAGAAATCGTACCACCTTAAAAGGCTCGTGTAATAACAAGCCAAAAGAAAGTTCCTGATAGAGCAGTATTTGTATTTTGAATGCGTATTGTGTATAAACATAGAATGCACTCGAATATGGCAAAAGATACTGGCAAACACGAGATTCCAAAGATGGCCGCCGGCCTTCCTGACGGCCTCGGCGGCGTGACGTACACAGCTAGGCTCCACCCAACGCGTTTCGTGCCCGAGCGCGTCTTCCCTGTCCATCGGTCATGAACATGATGAGATGTCCCTGGAGAATGTGCGTATGGTCCATTAACCACTTGAGCTCCTGAGGATTTACCCCCCTTAATGACCACGCCTCTTTTTGCTACTCGGCGCTGCACTAATTCAACTGATAATTGCGCGGTCATGCAATGCTGCACCCAAACGAAATTTACGTCCTTTTTTTCACACAAATAGAGCTTTCTTTCGGTGGTATTTGATCACCTGTGCGCTTTTTATTTTTCACGCTATAAACAAAAAAAGGCCAAAAGTTTGAGGAAAAACAATATTTTTTACTTTCAGCTATAAAAAATATATATAGTAAACTCAAGTTGGTTATAAATTTAGGCCAAAATGTATTCTGCTCCATGTTTTTGGTAAAAAAATCCCAATAAGTGTATATTGATTGCTTTGTGTGAAGTTATAGCGTCTACAAACTATGGGATAGATACTGCAATTTACGCCATTTTCTGCTATACAGCGCTGCGCTAGTTTAACGGACAATTGCGCGGTCATGCAATACGGTACATAAATGAAATTTACATCCTTTTTTTCCCCACAAATTGAGCTTTCTTTCGGTGGTATTTGATCGCCTGTGCGGTTTTTATTTTTTGCGCTATAAAAAAAAAAGGCTCACAATTTTGAGGAAAAGAAAACAATATTTTGGACTTTTTGCTATAAAACATGTCCAGTAAAAAAAAAACGCAAAAAATCAAATTTAGTCATAAATTTCTGCCAAAATGCATTCTGCGACACGTCTTTGCTAAAAAAAAACCCCAATACGTGTAAATTAATTGGTTTACGTGAAAGTTATAGCGTTTACAAATGGCGGGAAAGATACTGGGATTTTTATTTATACTAATAATGGCGCCGATCAGCGACTTTTGGCGGCAATCAGCGACATATGGCGGCGACCAGCGACTTATGGCAGGACTGCGGGACAGCGGCGGACATTTTGACACTGGGGGGGGGGGGGAACTGACTTGGGGTCACTGACATCCCCAGTGACACCAATACAGTGATCAGTGAAAAAAAAAAACCACTGAAACTGTACTAATGTCACTGGGGAGGAAGGGGTTAACATTTTTAGTATTTGCTGTGTAAGGGGAGTGTTTTACTAGGGGGCGGGGGGGGGGGGGGAGAACTGGAGGGGGGGGGGGGGGGGGGAGCTGATCGAGGGAGAAAAACTCTGCAGCTTCTCACAAGCTGTCAGAGAACTGACACAGAACAGGGCTGTGTGTAAACAATGCAGCCCTGCTCTGTGTCAGCGATCACCGGCAATCGCAGGGAAAACGGCCGGTAAAAAACGGCCGTGACCCGTCTGCTTACACCCGCGGGACAGGTAGGGCGGTCGCGCGCCCCCTACCTGTTTTGAAGGCAGCCGTTTTAAAACGTGCTTTTGCCTACAAGTGCCGCCATGCCACCGTTTATATGCGGTGGCTGGGCGGCAAGTGGTTAATCAACTTGTATGCTGAGGTGTGCCAGATGATTGCCTTGGTCCGATCCAGATCTTTATCACTTTTATGCCTGCTGGCGTTTGCCTATATTTCACTTTTATTACTATTTATCATTTTAGCGCTGCATCCATGTTATGAGAGATATCATGGACGTTGATTGGTTCACTAATATGCGCAACTGCACTTAATAGCACTGTATTCTTTTTCATATATTTTATTAGAATCATCGTATACATATTTTCATACTCTTTGTGCGTTTATAGCTCTGCACTTTACTCTTTTACACATTTTTACTGGGACCGTTACCTATGCCATGAAGTGCCAGCAGCTGCCTGCGTACTCACATTTATCCTTGTTCTCGATTTTGCGCTCGCTTATATACTCTTTTTATACTGGGAATAACTGTTTGGCACCCACCAGGCTTCCCTATATAATCAGTGTGCTGAAAAACAACCAGCAAAAAGGACAAAAGAAGGCAGCAGTCACATGATCATGCCTGCAGCAGCCCCACCCCCACCGCCAGGTAAACATGTACCTGTGGACTGGAGTTCACTTATCCTGGGGGGGGGTACCACTAAGAAGATGGGTGTATAAAGAGCCTTATGGTCTGTGGATAATGGAGGGAGAGCTTCCCCAGGGTCAAGTAGCAGCGCTTCAGGAGGGTCACCCTGTTTATTCACGAATGCGATTTATCTTCTGTAAATGTATTCCAGGTACTTATATAGCGCCGTCATTGTACGCCGCACTTTACATATATATTGTACATTCACATCAGTCCCTAACCCTCAAGGGGCGTACGATCTA